AACACCTTTACCAGCAGAGCCATCTTGCCAGCCTCACTCTCAGAGTTAGCAGAACGTGTTGTGGTTTCTGCTATGGTGCTTAAGATATCCCAGAATCCAGGCGGAGTGACACATAATCTCAACACTTGGGAGATGGTCATGAGTTCACGCTGGAGCTGGAGAGAGGTCTCAGTTAAGAGAATGTTCTGTGAGATTACAGGGACCACAGTTTGGGTCCCAAATCCCACTTAACAAGCCTGATAACCACACATTCCAGTAACCCTAGCGCTGAGACAAGACAAGACAAGAAGATTGCTGGGTCTTGCTGTATTCCAGCCTAGCTGGGGTGGGGGTGGGGGGAGAGGAGAAAGGGGAGGGAGAGAGAGGAGGGAGAGAGAGACAGAGGAGAGAGAGAGAGGGAGAGAGGGGAGAGAGAGAGAGAGGGAGGAAGGGAGGGAGGGAGGGAGGGAGAGAGAGAGAGAGAGAGAGAGAGGAGAGAGGCAGGTGGGAAGTGATACAAGAGAGCACTGATGTCCTTTACTGACCGAGTTCTCACAAGCACATGCATGTGCACACACACACACACACACACACACACACGCGCACACACATACTCTATAAACCTTTATAAAATCAAGGTCAGCTGAGGCTTGGTGGTGCACTCCTATAATTCCAGCGTTCAGGAGGCAGAAGCAGGCAGATCTGAGTTCCAAGCCAGCACAGTCTATGTAGTGAGTTCTAGGACAACCTGGTTCTGTATAGTGAGATCCCGTCTCAAAAGAAACAAACACCCTGAGCTACTAGAGATTAATCACGCCAGCGTGTGAGTTCAGAGCAGGCCAGCCAGTTTTCAAAACGAAGCACCAGGCTAAGGCGGTGGTTCATCAGGAGATGGCACTTGTCTCAGATCTGATGACCTGAATTTGGTGTCCTGGACCCACATAATGGAAAGAGTGAACTGACTCCTGCAAGTTGTCAAATTGTCAAGTTGTCCTCTGACCACGGCATCTGCGCTCGGTCTGGAGCACACACAGAGACACAAATTACTTAAGTGTAATAAATAGAAACCAAAGGTGAGATATACGGGCTTGGGTAGAGTGCTTAGCTAACATCCACAAAGCCCTGGGTTCTAGGGGCACTGTATACAGAGTGGTGTGCTTCAGGCCTGCAGGACCTCACTCAGGAAGCAGAGACAGGAGAATCAGAAATTCAAGGCCATTCTCGGGTTATTTTGGATTATATAACAACTCAGAGATCGTGCCTCACTAAGAAAAAAACAAAAGCAAACTATAAAACAATTAAAACTAAGCATTAAATTAATAAAAATAAGTTAGTAGCTAAAAAATTTGGTATTTTTTTTAAAAAATAAAGTTAAAAGTTAATGATTAGAATGAAAATGTAAACTAACTGAGGCTGAGTGGGACCACGTGGAATGGTTTCTTCTGCAGGTCCTGGGTTGGTGTCATTGTGTCTTCTGCCCTCTCCCCAACCCCTATCCCCCTCTAGACTTGCAGAGCTCACCCTGGACCAGCCTCAGAGGCCACGGAGGCTCCAGACACTGCAGCACCAGCCAGCCAACCTTCACCAGCAGGAGGCCCGGCTTGTCCCTAGGGCCTCTCATTCAGACAATCCTGTGCCTCTTAGATGCTCCCCGTCCGCTGCAGGAGCACAGAGCACCGCCCTGTTCTGCAGGTCCCTTCCTGTCCCTGCCATGTGACTTTGCAGGGGAGAAGCCAGAGGCGCTACTCTCACCCGATGTGTCCCAGGAGACCCCGGAGGAGGGTGACAACCGTGACAGCTCCTCCAGGTGCTCTGGGCTGCCTGTCATTCTGCCACTCACATTCCAGGCGTGACACTGTGTGGGTAGGAACAGGTGGGGGCTTCAATGTTCTTCCCCACAGAAGTGGATGCTTCCCCACAGAAGAGGCTGGCAGGGAACTTTTGGTGGCTGCGAGGAAAGCCAGCCTGTGCAGGAAAGGCAGGGTTACCCTGACATCAGCTGAAAATGCAGAATCTGAAACCCGCAAAGGCCCAAAACTATGCCCAACTATTCGATATCCGGGCATTTACCCTAAACCAAGCGCTCGCAGGAACGCATGTGGAGTGAGCATGCGCATTCAGAGACCTTGCTGGAAGCCTAAAGGCCGGAAAGGTTAAGTAATCAAACTGTTATGCTGCTGCAGAAGGGCCGGCGGTGGCTGTAGTCTAACCTGGTGAATGCTTAAAGTAATAGTACAAAGTTGACCAGTGTACCTACAGAAAACAGCAGTTTCACTCCCTTCCTCTTTTAAGGGGTGCGTGCGTGCGTGCGTGCGTGCGTGCGTGCGTGTGTGTGTGTGTGTGTGTGTGATCTTCTCAGCCTTCCTTTTTTTTACTGTGAAAGGGTATTTATGGTTTTTGTTGTTGTTATTGTTGTTTTGTCTCCTGGGGGGATTTTTGTCTCACGTAGCCCAGTGTGGCCTCAAACTACATAGGGCTTGAACTATGGCTGGCTCCTCACTCCTGTGTGCCTCTCTGGAGATGTTTGTGTAAAAGCTGATATATCACAATCACAGCCTTAGCCCACTCCCTTCGGATTTTCTCAAGCCCATGCATGTACCAGTGTGATTCTATACAACTTTTATCATTTATATATTGTGTGTTTGTGTGTACATGCATAAATGAATACTCACATGCCACTGCAGACATTTGGAGGTCAGAGGACCCTTGCCGGAGTTAGTTCTCCCTTTGCACCATGTGGCTTTTGGTGACCGAGTGTCACTAGGCTTGGCAGCAAATGCCTTTCTTTACCTACAGAGCCATTTCACAGGCCATAAGGAACTGTCTTTTAAAGAACATAGTTGCATATAGAGGGAGATAGTGGGCCTGAGAGATTTGACTTTAAGGGTCTCTTCTCCTGTGCCTCAATGGTTTATTTCTTTGCAGATTAGGGTGGGGTTTTGCTTGGTTGGTTTTGTGTGTGTGTGTGTGTGTGTGTGTGTGTGTGTGTGTGTATAGGGTGATCTATCTATCTATCTATCTATCTATCTATCTATCTATCTATCTAGAGATGGCATGCTGTTGCCCAGGCTACAGCTCACCAGAGAGCCCACGTTGGATGGTTCCCAATGGCCTTTCCTGGGGGACCAGGCCAATCCTAGAAGAAGGACACAGCTACCACTGGAATAGAAAGGTGTCTAAATTGCAAGAGGCAGGTACACACTCATATACCTCCATCACATATACTCATCACATACACTCATATACCTCCATCACAGCTTACTGAACCAGGGTGAGTCTATGATCCGCTGTGAGCAGCCAGAGGTCACAGGAACCTGGCGAGGAGCCAGTGCAGAACTGACAGGCACTACACGTTGAACCTGAGGCTGGGAGACCAGGGGTAATAATGAGGGAGCTAAGAAAGGGGTAGGGCAACAGGGGCCAAGACAGGTGCATCTATAGTTCCCCATGCTGACTTTCCTCCCAACCCAGCAGCCCTCTGTCACAGAGTCCCAGTCAAGAGGCCATTGAGGGACAAGATTTATCCTTTTAATGTGCCCTGAAGCCAAGGCAAAATGGATGCTTGTGGGTGGTGCCTGTCTGGTGACTTACTTGTGCTCCCTTCTGTAACAGCCACTGTCTTACCTCACTGCAGCTCCAGGTCCAACATGCACATGCCCAGAGATGATACCAGAGTCCATGCCAGCTCTGCTGTGTGTCCTCAGCCTTCTGGTCAACCCCTTGTCTCACCTTTGTTCCATCAGTCAGCCTAGAGAACACCCCAGGTAGCAGACCACATGCATAGAGCACATACCACCTAGCTTATGGGCTTTGCCACTCAACTGTATACCTTGTTTCCACAAAGCTCTTGTCAGCTCTGGTTCTTTCCCCCCACCCCATCCTTTTCCCCCCAAACCCTATATTATCAAGTGACACCAAGAACCAGTAGTTTTTTTATTAATAAAATGGCAGAGAGCTCCTTGCCTTGAGTGAACTCTCCCAACCCTGGCTTGGATGGCCCTTTTAAATATTTAGGAATGGCTTTCAGAATCATGGGTGTCTATACCAATCTCTCCCCCTTTCTGTGTCTTCCCATCTTTCCTGAGCCTTGGGACCAGTCTTGGGAGGCTGAGGCTGGGTCATCCCTGTCTGTATCCTTCCAGCAAAGAGGATTTGGAAAACCTTCCTGCTTCTTAGTATCTAGCGTCTCAAAAATAATAGCAATCTTGGACTGAGAAAAAAACCTGCTTACTGTGTTAAGTATAAAGACCTGCGTTCAATCCCAAGAACCTATATAAGAAGCCAGGTTGCACACCTATAATACTGGCACTAGTCGGGGGTGCAGTAAGCCAGTTGTGGATGCACACCTATAATACTGGCACTGGTGGGGGGTGCAGTAAGCCAGGTGTGGTTGCACACCTATAATACTGGCACTGGTGGGGGGTACAGTAAGCCAGGTGTGGTTGCACACCTACAATCCTGGCAATGGGAGTGGGATGATGGTGGTAAGGGACTGAGGGTAGAGACAAGTCACTTTTTTCACGCCCAAGCTCTGACTTCCAGACATGAATGTGACCTGTACTAGTTTAAAGAGACCCACACTTTCCCACTGAGATTAGCATGTGTGCAGGTTCTGTGTGGCTTGCCTTCTCTGTATTGGAGAGAGCAGCATTGGAGAGGAGGGTGGGGTTCTCTATGAAGGGAGTCTGAGTTCTCTCTTCTGCCTGTGTCTGTGACAGCATGAGGCCATGGACCCTGAACCCAGCTTTCAGAACAGTGAGCTAAGTTGGCAGCTTCCTTCCTAAGGTAACTCAGCCCCGGGGAACTAGTGATGCTGTAGAGAACAGGCCGAGACACGGTGGGAATTGCTCACCAAGGGCCTGGTTTGTTTCTTGCCAGACAGAATTTCTGAGCTGAAACCCAAAACCTGCCTGCTGATCTCCTTGAAGGAAATCAGGCAGAAACCAAAATGTCCATGGTAACTTTCTCCAATTGGTCTCATTTCTGGGAATCTATTTCAAGGAAAAAAAATACAAAAAAGGGGGAAGCCAAAACATAAAGATGTTTATTGAAGCTCTATTTATAGCGAAAATAAAATATATATAAACAAACATTCAACAAGAAAATGCCATGCAGCCATTTGAAAGTAAGATTCCACATCAACATTGAAAAACATCAAGAAAAAAAGTAGAGTAGAAGCCAAGTATACATTTACAACCTTGTCAAAGAGAAAAAAAAGCAAGAAAAAGTGCCCATGAGCAAACCTGCTTAGTCGAGCTTTCCCCATCTGCTCAAGGATCACACAGCATCTCTGCTATCCCAACCCTCCCAAAAGCCTGGTGGAAGAAACGGCCTGAACAATCCTTAGGAGTGGAAACCCAGGCCAAGCCTCCTGGCTACTCTTGGAGATATGCAGGACAGACAGACCCTGCATTCAGACGACCCTTCTAGATAGGTATGACAGAGACACCATAGGCAACTCCTCAGGCCACAAGGCACTGCCAGGCAGCCAACACTCAGACCACCAGTAGCCCTATTGGCCGCTGGTCCCAGCCCTTGGGTCACCTGTCAAGTGTTTGCAAACATCTCCTTTAAACCCCAGGTTCTTCCAGGATTCCCCCAGCTGTCTCCCTCCTTTCCAGACTTCTTTCTTCTGGACTGTGGCATTGATAAGTCCTTGCTGGTCCTTCTGCCACCTAACCAGGATGCTGATCTGTTTCCTGCTCTGGTCTCAAGATATCGGCTGTTTGTGGAAGTCAACTAGACAACTTCATTTTCGCCTAACTTATCTTTGATCTTCAGCCAAACTCCCTCTGCCCTTGGGTCCCAGGCCCTAGTTAACACCCACAGGAGAGATACTTTAGAAATCCACTCCCCAGAACCCCTGACACTATCTGCACCCACTTCAGCCCAAGGAGGACTGTGAGCTGTCACATCAGGGGAAAGGAGCCGCAAGGACAAAAGGACATTATGACGGTGCTTTTTTTTTTTTTCCGTTTTTCTTTTTGCACAAAAACAGTCCATTTATTCAAGTGTTCTCCAGCACAAGTACATTAGAAAGGAGCTTTATTATATTCTTCTGGGCACAAAAAGAAAGTGATGAAAGTGGAACTGACGGACTCTCTACACCTGCTGTACGCATTGACCTTTTTAATATTTCTTCAACAGCTATGTCACAAGCATCACGTACACAGAGATACAACGGGACACCAGGCGGGGCAGCAAGCTGTGTGCAGCCCCCACACCCTTCCTGGGCTGTCCCAGAACCAGACTGTGAAATGTACATTATTACTGTCAATAAATAGAGAAGCAACCCTAACAAAAAATACAGTGGTAGAAGGAAGCCGGGACCAGGAAAAACAAATGACAATTTTTAAAAAAAAGATTAGGAAAAGAGAGAGATAGGAAGAGGAACGGAAAGAGGACCAAGGGGGGCTGGGGGAAGGTTCTGGAAGGTCCTGCACTTAGCTGCGTGGAATGTGGAGTAAAAGCGCTCTGCCACCGGGGTCAAAGCGAAATCGTCTGTAACAGTAAAAGTTATTACCAAATCAGCTACGGAGTTTATTTTGTAGTATGAATACATGATTTCCCACAAGTAAGCACCCGCTACTTCGATGCCTCAGCTAAAACACGTGAAATCGCTCACTTAGTTTTCAAGTACAAAGTTAAAATGCCTTTTTAATAATAATATATCAGAGTAAAATAATAGTCTCTTTTAAACTCCACTACAAGAAAACAAAACAGAACATCATTGTCCAGACAGCAGACTTAATTTAACAATATATATTTTTAATAAAATGTGTTTAGCACCGTGTTGAGTCATCTCCTCCCTCTGCGTATTCTATGGAATTTCAGCTTTTCGTTATTGTTGTTTCTGTAGAATTCTAGGGCCAGGCAATCAAATTAGTCTGTAAAATGGGACGAGGTGAGACTTTAGACCACTGCTCACACCCTCAGGCTTGGGGCTGGGTAGTTTAGGAGGCCACAATGGAGCTCATTCTAATATGGGAGCCAGTTACTGGAGTTCCTGGTGTCCCCTAGAGAAGCTATGAGTCCCACCAGCAAAGGGCCTTCCATATATCTCCATTTTGGCCTGCTTCTTGGTCTCAATACTAATACTCCAGTGTCTGGGCTAGAGACTTGTCTCCAACCAAAGGCCAACCTTAGCTATATCTTGGAAGCCTGCAAGGACAAGGCCTTTCCTCCTAAAGACCTCGGCTTTCACACAAACATACAAGAGCTCACAATGACCCCTGAGTCCTTTCCTTAAGAGTTCTTCCGCCCGAGCACTGTTCCTAGTGCTGATACTGACTGGATGGGACAGGATCAATCAGAAGGGCCACCAACTCCACTTCATGGGGTGACAAGCTTCAGCTGTTCTCTGCCAAGTAGACAAGTCAGCGCTACCACCTCATCACAAGCACTGGAAGCAGGCAAGTGCCAAACTGAGATCCAAACACAGGCCTGCCTGGAAACTCAGCTGCAATGGTCACACAGACCCAGCTCATAGCCAGGGCTCCTACAGTGACAGTTCCTGAAGACCGTGCAGTGCCGTAACAGCACTGCACCAACCAGAAAGGCCCAGGAATTTGCTTCTACTCTCTGGACACGCTGTATAGTAAAGAACAGAGAAACCAACAATCCGTATCTTCCTATAAGCACATTTCTTATAAGTGGCTCAGCCTAACTCCAATTCCTAAACGAGCATGTGATGAGCGCAGCATCCCCAGGACGGAGATGCTATTGGGGAGGGTGGATGCCGTCGATGCTGGCCTGCAAGGGCCGCTAACTCCACCTGTTGCTCTTGCATTCACACTTTAGTCACTTTCCAAAAGCCACAGGGATCTTTATGCCAGCAGATCTCTCTACCTGCTGCCACACCCAGCCCGGCCACAAAAGTGACTCAGTCCAGGAGGCTCTTTAGGGGACTTTTGCTTTCTAATAGCAGAGCAACGGCCTACTGCAGGCTCCCAGGCTTACTGGGTCCTATGGAGAGGAATTAGCACCAGCTTGGGACCCTGCTGGTATATGTGCCTCCTCAGGAGGCCTTGGTTCCGTGACCCTGGCGCTAGCACCAGCTACCTCCCTTGGGCAAGGGCCACAGATCTTCGGCATGAGGCTTCACACAGCACCTGCTGAGGGGTGGCTGTCACTCAGTCCCCAGCACCTAAGTTTCTAGGGAAAATAAGCCTATTCTTTGGAAAGGAAAGCCCACAGGGAACCTTGGGGATCCTCCCATGACCTGCCTCCAGCTTCAGTTCCACCTACAATGAGCTAGCTCCTGGATGCACTGCAATCCTCACCCCCAACCTCCTCTCAGCTACCACAGCATCCTAGCAGCTCTCCTTGGAGGTGACCCTAGAAGTCCCACGGGGTAAAGATGAACAAGCTAGCAATCCCAAAGACCCCACAAGAAGACATTGGGGCTAACTCCACTGGTGCCTATGCACTATAGTAAGACTAAGCCCACAGACTGGGCTGGAAGGAAAGCTAGTGAAGACTACCAGATGCCCCACGAGGAATCCATTAGGAAACTTGTCAGGTCAGGATTGGTCAGCCACCTGGAAGCCTCTACTGAGTCCCTTGAGAATGCCATATCCTTTGACACCCAGGCTCCTCCTCCTGAGCCCTCACACTAACCCCCAGACATCGGGGAGCACCAGGCCCAGCTGAGGTGGCACAGGGCTCCTGGGAAAGGCTAACTTCTTCACATAAGCAGTGGGCAGAGGTGGGAGAAGGTCCTTGAAGACAGTCCTGACAGGAGCCGGGAAGACCTTGCCTTTGTAGAGGGGGAGGGAGCACCTTGGACTGCCTAAAGCAGCCTTCCTCCCCTCCAGTCCTCCTGCATGGTGCTGGTGGACTCCAGATCAAAATGGAGCCCTGCTGGAGCAAGGGAGGACATCACATTTAGTACAGAGACTCCAAGAGGGCAAGCATCCCCCTCTCCTGGATGTTCCAGCCCCATAGTCACTACCTGCCACGGCAGGGAAAACTAGCTGTAATCTTAAAACTCTCCAGAGAAAATGAGCAGAGGTGGGCAGGACTACACAGCCCAAGAGGTGTGACAAGCCACCAGCTAAGCTTAGTCCTGAGCAGTGAGCAAGGGGCCAAAGCCTCTGTTTAGTTTTACCACTGATCACTGATTTGCTTTACTCCAAAAGTGAGATTCACTGTCCCATTTTAATTTTTTAAATATTTTATTTTCCCAATGGAAGACCAATGGCCAAGACAGATTTCAATTCGACTTTGGCTGGGGAGAATAGGTAGGGGGAGTTGAGGGCTGACTGGTGCCTAGAGTTGCAGGTCAGTAACCACAGGCTGCTAACAGAAGTCTTTGACATCACCAGGGGCAAAGGGAATAGAACACAGACCTGCTAGAGGAAGCACCTGCTTGGTGATCAAACCTCCTTTTCCTGACTTCAGCACCTAGCAACTTCTGGGATCGAGTCTACCTGTCATCAGGGCAACAGATGTACCAGAGCTGCACAGCCGACTCCGGCGTCCTGATCCTGGGGAGAAGTGTGCTGGGGGCTCCCTGGTGTGCATCCAGACAGAAATAGGTTCCTGTGCATGTGTTAGACTGTTTGTGGGTCTGTCTGCGGGAGGGACCCAGGCTCAACACAGAGCCTGCTCTCTCCAATCCCCACGGTGTATATTTCTTATACATGACCCTATCTATGTATTTATACAGGGCCTATCATAGGCCCCATCTTTCTAGGGATGCGGTCTTGGGACCATGTGCTTGACAGCACACCTCCCAGCCTCTGCTGGTCCCAGGAGGTGCCGTCCCCCCTCCCATTATAAAATATATATCTCTATATGCCACATATCTACACTCCATCCATCCAGGCAAGCCCTCACCCTGGGGCCAACAACACCTTCCCTTCCCACTGACAATGCCAGGCTGCCTGCCCTGGGTAGGAAGCAGAACAAAGTGCGAGCACAGGGGCCCCAGGTGAAGCTGACTCCCGGTAAGAGCACAGCTATCAGACCAAACACTAGAAAAGAAACACACGCCACTCCAACCACACACACAAGGAGGGAGGCTGCCCCGGCCTCCCTCCAGCCCTGACACACCGGACTCACGAGGAGGGGAAGAAGAAGAGAAGAGAGACTGGCCCGGAGGGTGGGCCTCGAACTCCCTGGCTGCCTAGCTTGTTGCTGTACTGCCCAGTGGCCCACCTGGCCTGAGGGGTCGGAGCCAGGGCACCAGAGCCACTGGTCCTTAAAAAAAGCACCTGCCACCCCCCTGCACCTTGGTTTGAAACCTAAAGGGAAGGGTGTTGGGTTTTTGTTTTCTCAAAGAAAATCTTAAAACAAACAATTATAGCCAGAACCATAAGAATAATTATAATAAAGGTGTCATCAGCCTCCCAAGTATGAAACTGCAGTCTTTAGAGATGACCAAAAACATCACATTCCAGGACCAGAGCTGCCATGTGCACAGGGGATGGTGGGGGCCTCATAAAAGAACACACAAAAGGCAACTTAGACAGAAAGCACCAGTACATTTTGTATGTTTTTTTATTTGCTCCAGGTGGGGTTAATGGCGGGTCACTTCCCCTCACTCTGGATTATCTCTGATCCCACAAGGGGCCTTCAATGTGGCTGACGGATTCAAAATCAGGGACAATGTTTTCTCAAGCCATTTTTCTGAGGCAGTCATTTCAGATTCATATTCAAAGGTTATTGCACGCGAGTCTGGATAAATTCCACACTCGGCTTCCCCAGGTTCTGATCACCTCAGCTAAGCCCCTTTTTGGCAGAAGCTAGGCATGGAGCAGGGTGGGGATGGGGTAATATGGTTCCTCCTTTGGTTTGTTAAAAACCAAGAGGGAAGATGACACCCTCTCCGTCTCCTCCCTTCTCTGCTTCCCTCTCCCCATCCTGGGCTGAAACCCTTTGCACAGAGGGCCAGGTGGAAGCTGATGTTTTTGCTCATCTCGCTGTTTTGAAAGCACCATTATGAAGTCGGGATGTACAGTAGTTAACAGTACCTTTTATATATATATTTCATATCTATCATATATATATAAACTGTAAACAAGAGGTAACAGCGGCTTCTAGAAACTGGTTTTCTTCAAGGTTTCCTGTGTGGTAGGCACCTGAAATACTGTAGAAAAGTGTCTGGTGTGGTGTTCTCAGCGCCCTGCTGCTAGTTGGGTTCTGTTTTGCATGACCAGGAATGGTGCTGTTGAGACTGCTCGGGGCTGGGAGAGGAGACTCTGCCTCCGAGGGTCTCTGTTCTGTTCCTGTTTGTGCTCCTATCTGATCAGGCTAGAGACAACCAAAGAGATATATAGAAAAGGAAAAAAAAAAAACCAAAAAAAAAAAACCCCAATATTTAAAGTTTTTATAGACTTTTCCCTCTCTCCCTTTCCTCTCCACGGTGTTACTATTTTTTGTTGTTACTGATTTTGCTGCAATAACTCTCTCGTTTCAGTCACAGCAAGAAACAAAAACCCAAACAAACAGAAAACCCCTCTGAAAAAGAGTAGAAAACAAAAGGTCCGCCTCCTAGGATTGGAGGGGAAAGGGGGGAGGGGCCTATTCTGCTCGTTAGATAGGACTGAAGATTAACATTGAAAACTCAAGAGATGATGTCCAACCCCTTTGCAAGGCCAAGCCCTCCGGCATTTCCTCCTCTGTGGTTTGCTTTAAATTCCTTTTTCTCTTCTGGGTGCTGAACTTCTCTCCGTCCTCTCGTTCTTGGTGTTTTATTGTGTTTTGTTTTTTTTGTTTGTTTGTTTGTTTAACTTTGTTACCATCACTACTTCAGTTTGCCCCCATGTCCCTTACACACAAGCAAAATATTCCTTCAGCGGAGCGAAGAGGTGGCGGATGACCGGCACGCTCCACGATCGGCCCAGCAGTCTCTGCCTCGCCAAGCGGCTCATGTTGGAGACGTCTGTGTAGTGGACGGGGAAGCCAAACACCCTGAGGGAGGAAAGGCAGAGAGGCTGAGTGAGTGTGATGGTGAATGTTAGCTTACTCTTGTAATTCCTGTCATGGCTGCCCCGATCTTTATGGCAATTCAGCTCTGTGCCAGGCTCTCTGTGGATATAAAGATAGGTAGTATAATCCCAGCTTTGAGGTTCACACTCACCAGAAACAAAGACAGGACTTAAGAACAAACAAAACCCCCAGACCTCTGACATGCCTCTTGGATGTGCTCCACAGGTTCCCTGCACCCGAGATCTGCAGGGTGCAGACAGCCTGAGTCCGAATACAATCCAATTCATCCCTAAACACCTCTTCTGAGAAGAGAGGGGCTCTGCATTGCTTTGGTGAGTTCAGGGATCCCTGTTGCTCAGGGTGTCTGTGAGAACAGCAATTGTCTGTCTAAATCCTACTCAGACCCAAGGAGAAGCCCACCCAGCTGCGTGCCATCTGGTGCCATTCATAGGCATCTACCTATACTGGCTTTTAAGACACACACATAATACCTATTATCCAAGTCCAGGAGGCCATGGACTATGTTAAGGGGTTCTAGTGAGCTCTTTGGGTGATTCCATGACCCTTCTGAATAGGGACCAGCCATGGAATGTGCAGGTTTCTCCCCAGAGCATGCTATGCTGGGAAATGCTTGTTAAAATTCACTCACGCTGGGCAGTGGTGGCGCACACCTTTAATCCCAGCATTTGGGAGGCAGAGGCAGGCAGATTTCTGAGTTCAAGGCCAGCCTGGTCTACAGAGTAAGTTCCAGGACAGCCAGAGAAACCCTGACTCAAAAAAACAAAAACAAAAATCACTCACAAGGGATCTGGGGGAAATGTGGATATGGCAGCCAACACAGAGCCTTCCTTCCAACCCAGCTCTGATCAGATGCAAGCACCCAGCATGCTACCTTTCCATTTCAGTGCACCAGAGGATGTCCTCCTTCTCGTTCATGAAGACGGGGAAATGCTGGTCTTTGCCCTGCTTTATGGAGTTTGACCTGGTGGTAATGGTCCTCACTTTGCTGAACTAGAAGATGAAGAGGCAGCGGAATGAGCGGCATCACTTGTTGACAAATGACTGGCTGGTCTCTGCTTCCCTTCCCACTCAGAGGACACTTGGGCATTCTTGTTCCAATCAGGCTAACAGAACTAGAGGCAGCAGTTGTGGCTAGCTTGCCCCTAAAGTCTTCCAAGCCTGTTACTCTCCCAGGGAGAGCAACTTCCAGGCAGAAGGATGTTAATAACTCAGCAGCTCAAAGGCCCACTGTAGGGATCTGCAGAAAGTCCAGAAAGCTAGACTGTGTAGGTGGAGCCTAACATCTGAATGCTCAGGTGAGAATCCTCCAGAGAGAAACTACTTCAGAGGAGCCCTCCCTCCATGCTACAGGCTTGTAGTCCTAGCCAAACAGGAACAAAACAAAAGTGTTCTTTTTGAAGAACCATATTATTAGTTTAAGAGAAAAACTCCAGAAGAGGCAAACTGTAAATCTCAGCAGCCGCCTGGAGGAGGATGAAGGAGAGATGGGAAAGGCAATGCATGCAGATCAGACACATGGCAGACAAGCATCCACATATGAGGAGGGAGGCTTTAGAGATAAAGAAGCCCAAAGTTTCAAAAAACATACACTTGAGTTCTAGTCAGCATTCAAAAGAAAGAAGCAGAAAAGAGAGAGAAGTCAGAACGTGGGGAGACCCAGACAACTCTCATAGGGACTGAGCTGAGACCTGGGACACCCAACTTAAAAGCACTGAGGCTAGAGAGATGGGTCAGAGATTGAGGACACTGGTCCAATTCCCAGTACCCACACAGAGTTTTGCAACTGTCTTTAACTCCAGTCCCAGGAGATTTTATATCCTTTTCTGGCCTCTTCAGGTAAGCATACATATGGTGCAGAGAATACGCAGCAAAATGCCCATACACGTACACCAACAAAAGCCTCTGCACTTCCCAAAACCTAATTAAAGACCCTACTGTGCCTACCCAGGGTGGGATGGACGAAGCACCTCAGGAGAGGTGCTTGGCCCATTCCCTAGCCAACTGGCTCTATGATCCCACCCCACCCCGCTGTCCCAGGTGCTGGGGCTCACCTTGGCTATCCTGCCATGTTCCAGGCACTCCTGCAGCTCCAACTTATCGTTCACAGTGGATGCCAATGGCCTAGAACGCAGAGACACCGTGGAAGCAGAGCAAGGAAAGCCCTGTCCAGGTACAACCCCTGGCAGCCACAGGACTTCAGGGAGGATCAAAAGCCCATACCCTAGATAGACACACACAGCATAGCCCTCTGCATACCATGCCTGCCCATAAGCAACCAAGTAAGTCTTAATCCTTACAGGCAAATTTAAAGGGGGTTTCAAAAACACATATCAGGCAGCTAATGCCTACCCAGGGGCAAAAAGTACATAAGCAACCTGTATCTTGATTTCTGGTGGTTTGTCTTAGGGGTGGTTTGTTCCAGGGGTGGGTATACTAGCCGAAGCTGATTGGAACATAAACCTTAAAAAGGCACCCTTTATTAGAAAACAAAAACAAAATACAAAACAAACAAAACAAAACAAAAAATCCCTCCTGTTTCTGCAGGAAAGCCCAGTATCAGGGAGGTGGAGGTAAAAATGTTATAAATTTGAGGCCAAAAGCTAAAGTTTTATGTTGCTGTATATCTCAGGGCAGCCTGGGGGAAGTGAAGTCCACTTTTGAGACTGTCCTTTCTGTGGTTAAGGGACAGCGGAGTGCATCATACCAACACTCAAGAAGGGAAAGGGAGCATTGAGGACTCCCACATTTGAAGCCAGACTAAACTATACAGTGAGACCCTGTCCCAGACACTAGGCTGGGGTTGTAGCTCAGAATCCATCCTTACTGTGTGCAAAAAAGAACAGGCTAATAACTCTGCAGCATCCACTTTTCCGAGGAAGCAAAAAAGCGTGTCAGAGCAGCAGCCCTTTGGCAAAGGCAGTCCTGGCTGGACACTTAGGGTGGTTTCCCTCCTTGGGCTGTCTGTCCTGCCTACAGCCATGTAGCCCCTCCTCCCATACCCCTCATGCCAGGAACCCTCACCAACCTGTTCATGCCAGGAAGGTTACCCCAGAAGTAACGGGCCCTGTGTGCAGCAGACACTTCTTTGGCGTCAATCATCACGGGGTTAGACTGTAAAACAGGAGATGGTTTCAAGATGACCAAAGAGGAAGTATTAACTAAATACTGCTGGGTAACTGGGCTGGTCAAGAGCCTCAGCTCCCTAGAGGAACTTCCTTCTTAGGAAGCCATACACTGGAATAACCTGAAGACCCAAACTAAATACATCCCATATGTGCTTGCTAGAACATTCTAGATAGACCAGCACAATCCAACTGAACTTTCGGTAATGACAGGAGCAGTTATTATTCCAGTAGCACTATGGGTGACTCCTGTGTGCTTAAAATGAGGTTCATTCTTGTAAGACTAGCCACAAGGCTGTTGACTACATAAGACCTTAGCAGAGAAAGCCTGATGCCCTGCTTGTGTGCTGTGCCATCCACATTTACGACCTGCGGTTATTACTAAGCATGGGCTGATGGGACCATAAGCTGACAGTCCGCCACAAGAATGCCTTGGGCAGCAGCAATCCCCTGGGTATGGCTTGTGCTTGGCTCAGTGCTAAACTAGGGCTCACATAACAGGAAATGAAAGCAAAGATAAGCCATGATTTTTATCTTAGGTATCACAAAACGCCCATGAGGGTGCCAGAGAGTGAGCATAGACCATTCTGGTCAGAGAAAACTGACTTTGGAGCTCTCCACATTAGAGCTGGACTGGCCCCAGCCTATCTGTTTGGTGATGACCACTACACCTCTTGGAACAAGAGCACTTTCTTCCTAGGTGAGCCTCTAGCACTGCTTCCTCTCTACCTGGGAAGACTTCCTCAAGCTGCGCCTGGCAAAGAGAAGCCACCAGTCCCCAGCTCCAATCCCCCAGCTCCGCAGTGCAGACAAGACAGGGATGAAGCAGCAGTCCCAGGTAGAAGCCATTAGTGAGCTGGCCAAACCAAGGTCGCAGTTTATACCTCAAGAAATCGCGAGATGTCCCTCTTGTCACTAACGCCCATGGCCACCACATTCTCAAAGAGCCAGAAGAAGGGGCGGTCATCTCCCTCCTTGGGCCGCGCATCATGCAGGAGGCGGTAGAACTCAAAGAAGAGGCGGCCAGTGCCCTCTGAGAGATTGGAAGGAAGAAAAAGCCATTAGCTGGGGTTGTCTGCTTCGAACAGCGGTGAGGCCTGGGCATGGGCAGGATGAAGGGAAAGGGCCACGGGAAGAGCTGCCGGGGCAGAAATATCCAAAGCAGATTCCTAAGACCTAAGTGCAGAAAGTATCAGGCTCAGAAAGCAGAGGAGCGAGGAGGGCACCTACCGTAAAGTCCCTTGCGTGCAGGGTTGACGATGGAGAGGTCATTGCAGGGACTGCCTCCAATCACCAGATCGAATGGGCCCCACTCCTGGATCTGGGAGGACAAAGGTAATGTGATGGGCCTGCTGTCCAGGGACATAGGCGAAGGGAAATCTGTGAGTCTAAGAGTCAGAAGATAAGCCTAGAGAATCTCTAGGCTTATAACAGACCCAGCAAGGAGCCTAGGAGGTGCCAAGTCCCCGTACCCCCCCTCAAAAAAAAAAAAAAAAGTAGCCTTCCCTGAGGTGGGAAGGAATTAATTGTGGTATCATGTGATTGTCCCTCAGGGATTGCAGAGCTGAAACTGCCAGCACTCCCTAAACCCCTTGAAATGGAGACTGGCAGAAGAACTTCCCAGAAGCACTGAGATGACAGGAAGCCTTCTCCAATCCAGAACACACCACAGACAGTCCTGAAACCACGGGCCGCCTTCAGGCCCTCTAGGCAAGAGTTCCATGTTCTACCTTCACTTGTCAAATCCCCATTTCCAATCTGCTCATCACCCTGAGAAGCCACAGAAGTAAACTGGAAAATGAGAAAGGAAGGAAGGGAGGGAAGGAGAGAGGGAAGGAGGGAGGAAGGGAGGGAGGGAGGGAGGGAGGGAGGAAGGAAGGAAGGAAGGAAGGAAGGAAGGAAGGAAGGAAGGAAGACAGGCCAGGAGAGGGCGAGAAGGAACAAATGGGCGGAACGGAAGGAGTGGATGACAGTGTCCCCAAGAGCTGAGGACACTGGGGGAAGACATCCCTGTGCGCACGGACATACATGCTTCTGTGTGACGCTGCGGACGTCCCCGACGTACATGATCTTTCCCTGGTGCCGCACCATGCCCACTGTGATGGAGTCCTCACACACCTCGGAGGCAATGTAGCGGTCCACTTGGATGCCCAGGTCCTTCAGCACCAGGAGCCCTGTGCCAGTCAGCAGAGGGCAAGCACTGTCACCAGAGCCATCAACCTCATCCGTGGTCTTAAGAGTTAACTTGCCAGCTGCCAACAGGGGGCCACCTTGCCCATGTGACACTCCCAGCATCTTTTCTCAAATCAAAGCAGATCAGCACAGACAAGCACTGGGACTGCTTCAGCTTTGCCAAAGGTGGCCAAAGCCAGGAAAGAACCAAAGCAACAGATGGGTTCAGGTCCAGAGAGGTGGCCTTTTCACATGACACAGCAGATGGTATCTGCTCTAAGGCATCACCACTGGCCCAGCTCCCCCAGCAGCCCCTTAGAACCAGCCCTCTGTGGCCAGGCACCCAGCCTCTGTATCCTTCAACCAGTTTATTTCCGGCTTTGGATTGTGAATGTCAAGCCTGGGTCCCTTCATCAACTTCTCTCAATTAGCTATGACAACCTATGCTGCCTATGGATCCAGGAAAGCAGTACCACACCCAGGGAGGGACAGTGACACCATTCCCACTGCTCTCAATAGCTAGCTCCCCAGGGAGCCTCTATAATCTTGGGTGTAACAGCATTGACTGTTTTATTTTTTTGGACGGGGCCTCACTACATAGCCTCAGCTGGCTAGATGTAGACCAGGGTGGCCTCAAACTCAAGAGATCCACCTGCCTCTGCCTCCTGAGTTCTGGGATTAAAGGTGTGTACACCATGTCCATCTCTAACAAGCAATACTCATTCATTTGTTGTTTTATTTTTGAGACATAACCCAGGGAGGCCTTGAATTCTGTAGCCTAAGAGGAATGAACTCCTGACCTTCTGTCTAAGTACTAGAATATATGTGTTATATGTCTTTCTTTTTCTTTTCTTTTCTTTTTTTTTTTTTTTGAGACAGGGGTTTCACTGTGTACCCCTAGCTGTCCTAGAACTTGCTCTGTAGACCAGGCTGGCCTCAAACTCAAGAGATCCACTAGCCACTTCCTCCCAAGTGCTGGGATTAAAGGCGTGCGCCACCATCGCCCGGCTCTTGCCTAGTTCTCAATCATTCAGTTTGATCAGCTATATAAACTTATTAGCTGTACTTTCCCAAGAAAAGCAGGCCAGTCCCTCAGGACCCATGCCAGTCCCTCAGGACCCATGCCACTCACCTGTAGCAATTCCATCAAAGAGAGACAGCACCCGGATGGGCTTCCTCTTCTCAGCTGGCACGGGTGGGTAAACCTTCGGGGGGTCCTAAGTAGTGAACACCATTGATCAGGTTCATGCTGGGACTGCCCCTAGCTCCCCATCCTGTGTTAGCCCCTCCAGCTAAGGACTACAGGGCGTCCAGATGGAGCTGCACAGGTCACACACAGCTCAGTCCCTCCTGCAACCTGCCCAGGCCTCACTGCCTACTCAAGGGCTCTCATGGAGAGCTAGTCTCAGAAAGGTGTGAGACGACAGCCTAGACCCAGCACTCACAAATTCCTGGTCATGGTTATTGGCAAAGAACATCTGGAGCCGAGAAGGCCAGTCTTCCCGTCTCCGCAGCAGCCCATAGGTGCCTTTGTGCCCACACATGTAGCAGTTCCAGGGGTCTTCCTTAATGGCTGCCTGGGCAGCTCCTGGCCCCACCAAGAGATCCACACACTCGACACAAAAGCACCTGGAAGAAAGCCCAGTGAAGACAGGACTGACTCTCGGACCTGAACGGCTGAAGTCCAGCAGTAGGCAGGAGTGCAGGCTGTAGCAGCACGGGTCCAGAGCGCATCGGGTGGAGCAGGCAGCGAGGACCCAGCATGCAGCTCTGTGGGTCTCTGTGGGTCTGTCTCTGTGGGTCTGTCTCTGTGGGTCTGTCTCTGTGGGTCGGGGTCTCACCTGCAGCAGTTGTTGTTTCCACACATGAGCACTTCACGCCCCCCACAGCAGATGGTGCAATAGGACTGGTACCCATCGTCATCATACTGGTAAGCACACTCCAAGAAGCAGTTCTAGGGAGAATGTGAAGGTTCAGCAGAGCCAAGTGAAGACAGGTTCTGAATCCAAGGACATGGGAACTCATCTACTGTCGGCTTGCCTGACCTGCCTCTGCCACCCACCCTTCACCCATGTGTTAAGTCCTACTCCTGCCGACGTGAGGCCAAGACTCAAGTATGAAAGGTTCTTTCATGATGTAAATCAGAACAAGCCTCAATCTTTGGAGTTTAAGTGCTTGCAAGAGTTCACACCACATCCAGGTGATGGTTCCCAATGCCAAGAAATAAGGAAGGGGTCACCTCTTTAGGTGGGTTGTTTCCCTACCTTACAGTTCTGGCACATTCCACCAATGAAGAGTGGGTGCTCCAGGGTGACATTGAGGCTCCCACATGAGATACAAATGTCTGTAAAGTAACAGGATGCCATGAGCATCCATTCCCTGGAATTCCCGGACACCTGAAGCCTGAGCCCAGCTAAAACAGGATCTACCAAAGTGGGTGTCAAAAAGGCAGCCAACACCGAGAATTCACTTCCATAATCTCAGCATTTGAGAGGCTGAGAAAATCAAAGATCAGCCTGCACTAAAGAGTGAGTCCATGGCACACTCAGTGAGACTCTGCCCCAAGACAAAGCAAAAATAAGCAAAGAGCTGTGAAGAGAGATGGCTCGAGCGAGCATTAGGGTCCAAGTTCAGATCCACACAGTCACATCAAGCAGCCAGGAAAGTCGCACCAACTGGACTCAACAGGATATTGGGGGGAGGGGGGGTGTTGGCAGGCGAAGGTAAGAAAGAAGCATGTTGCAGTAAGTCCAATGCGAGTCACAGGGAGAAGTTGGGGTAGGCATTATCAAGAGACACTGTATACAAATATGAAAAATTTAAAGTTTAAAAAACAAACAAACAAACAAACAAAACAGGTGTCAGGTGGTGGCTGCCCATGTATCTAATCCCAGGCAGGAAAATGTCCCTGTGAGTTTGAGGCTAGCCTGGTCTACAGACTGAGTTCCAGAACAGCCAAGGTTAGGAGGAAGAGGAAGAGGAGGAGGAGGAAGCCATCAGGCATGGCAGTACGCCTGTGACCCAGTGCTGAGGAGGGTATTAGATTGCTGGACTCTTGGAGCTCACTGCCCATCCAGCTTAGGTGAACTTTCTAAGCTCCAGGTTCAGCGAGACTCTGTCTCACAAAATAAGGTGGAAAGCAATTGAGGATGACCCGACACCAGCCGATGCCCTCCAGACCAATGCACCCACACGTGCATGAGCACTCACTCCCAGACACCCCACATATCTTTACAGGCAGCAGTTGGTTCCCTATCTCTGAAGCTCACCATCTTTAAGCTACTCCACCACCCAAGTGCAGGGCTCCATGAGGACAAAACCCATGCAAGCCCACCCAATCCCCAGGCGACACTTACCCTCGATGTTTCGGCACTTCTGGCGCACCTCATACACGAGCCGCTCTGCAGAGGATGCAAGCCCACGTTAGAACGTTGCCCAGATGGCCCAGCATGGGCACCCAGGTGATGTCCACCCCTCAGAGCCCCCAACCCTCTCTCCAGAGCCAGGCTCCTACCTCGTGTGCGCTCATCAATAATCTCCTTGACCTTGGGTTTCTCTGTTGTGCTCTTTCTGGGTTTCTTGGCTGGTGGGGGCGGAGCGTAAGCAGCTGCCTCAGGCTCCACCCACATGTCGGTGTAAACTTCCTTGTAAGGATTCTTCTCCTCTGCACCAGGAAGGCAGGTGACCACACCAGTTACAGACTGATAATAGCACAGCACCCACAGTGGGGCACCACATTGCCCCAGTGGCTTCCCAACCCCCAGTTCTGAGATTCTGGTGAGCCAATGGACAACAGGGTAGCACACACCCTTGGGGTAACAGAAGGAAGCCCCACATGCCATTTCTATTCCTCCTGACTGACTGTAGGGGCTCTGCGGCTCACCAAGTGTGGCTTTCCCAGTCCCAGCTGCACTGGACCAGAGCACAGTTACCTTCTGGTGGCTCCAGGCCCTTAGGACCTGAGGGCTGGAAGCCACCAAGGGCCCATTCAATCATCTGCTTGTTTTGCACCTCCACAGCCTTGCCAGTGTCACTTTCGTCACTGTCATGGCAAGCTGGAAACAGCTTCCCTGCACGGCTGCTGGCCACCTAGAAGGGAAGAAAAGTAGGGACAGGTTAGAAGAGAAGGGAAGCCCAACTCAGAGTGGCAGAGGTGGGCAGGCAGTAGGTAGATCAGCAGGAGGGAGCCTGAAGAAGGGCCTCAGGCTTGGCTAACACAGCTCCATCGTCCAGGGATCCTGGTAGCCCCACCAGTAAAACTCCCTGGAGCTGCTGGGGACATGCTCACCTGGAGGACTTCGTAGATGGCTTTGCGGTACATGGGCTGCTTGTTGTAGGTGGCCTGGTGGAACGCACTGCAGAAGGAGCTCAGAGGCATGAGCTTCTCGACACACACCTAGGGACCAAGCCACCCTCAGTTGGTTCCTTCCACGGGACACATTCTGACTCCAGTCCTGCATGGCCTGGCACTCACTACGTAGCTAAGGTTGGTCTTGAACTTGTGATCTTCCAGCTTCAGCAGGGATTACTATACCCAGTTGTCCCCTATATAGCTAAGCCACATGCCTTGTAACTGTTATGCATGAGGGACATTAAGAGTCACTGAACCCTGGGCTGGAGAGATGGCTCAGAGGTTAAGAGCACTGATTGCTCTTCCAGAGGTCCTGAGTTCAATTCTCAGCAACCACATGGTGGCTCACAACCATCTGTAATGGAATCTGGTGCCCTCTACTGGCCTGCCATTGTACATGCAGGCAGCATGCTGTATACATAATAATAATAAAAAAAAGAGTCACTGAACCCTTGCAGGACCAGATGCATTGACAAATACGACAAATAGTACCAGAGGAGCCCAGATCGAGAGTGGGAAACATACATATGAAGGGCTCTAGCAGCTGATAGGCCACCAGGCTTTCTGCTCAGCTCAATGATGGCTAGCTATGGCTTCTTCCACTGATCCCACACTTGGGGCAAATGGAGTGCATTTTTACTGCCCTTATTCCAGGTGGCACCCAGCAGAATCTAGGCCATAGGACCAAGACCCCTTATTCTCTTCCCAGACCAACCTCCTAACCCCAAGTCCAACTCACCACTGAGAACTTGCCGTCTCCGAACCACATGACCCAGCGAGTGCCTTCAGCTGCTCGGCTCCGGCCTGTCATCCACCAAGACACAATTCGGCCTGGCCACCAGGAGAAGCCCCGAAGTTTCCCCCACACCAGCTCTCCAATGCCAAAGCCCCGGCCATCCTGGAGCAAAATTCAATACACAGCAGTCCTAAGTGCCGACCACCCTGACACCTCCCAGAGCTCGACCCTCTAGCCTTGAGCATCTGAGGGACAGTATGAGCCACATGAGAACATCAGGCGACAAAGCCAAGCCAGGAGCTGATACTCTGGACGTAGCCAGTACGAGCTGGCAGGAGGAGGAAGGAGGGTCAGGCAGCCAAAGAGCACAGGAGAGTCAGGCAAGGCAGCTAAGAAACAACCGCTTACCTCATACTCGGGTTCATCATCGGCTGCTTTGGTAGCATTCTTGTCCCCAGCATCAGCCCCTACTGGCTCAGGGGTGGTGGCCACAGTAGGAGATGCAGGGTCCGTGGGCTGCTGCACAGCAGGAGGGCTGGCCTCCTCCACCTTCTGAGACTCCCCAGAGGTCTGGTTTTCTTCCACAGCATTCATTACTGCAATCACCTTGGCTTTCTTCTCAGCCTGGGGAAATGGGGACAGGAAGTCATCTTGACCCCTCCAAGAATGAGCAAGGCTACGCGAGATACTCAGGAACCTTCAATACACCAGTGGTCTGGAGAGGGCACCCTTACCAACCCAAGCAGCTCACCGTGTAAATAAAAACAGCTGAAGCTGGAAGGCTACCCAGCTCTCCTTCTTGCCTCCGAGGAAACCGCCCTCTTGGCCCTGGATCTACCCTCTGACTTTTTGAGGCCAAATCTCACATAACCCAGACTGGTCTCAAACTTGCTATGTTGCTTAGGATGGTCCTGAACTCTTGGTCCTCCTGCCTCTACATTTTTTTTTTTAAGATTTATTTCTTTTATATATTGGAATACACTGTCACTGTCTTCAGTCATGCCAGAAGAGGGCATCAGAACCCATTACAGATGGTTGTGAGCCACCATGTGGTTGCTGGGAATTGAACTCAGGACTTCTGGAAGAGCAGTCAGTGCTCTTAATTGCTGAGCCATCTCTCCTGCCCCTGCCTCTACTTCTTTTTTTTTTTTTCCTAGTGTAAGAGGTTTATTGGGCTAAAAGGAAGAGTGAAAGGCCAAATTCAAGTGGGGACATGAGGAAGAGAAGGAGATAGATAGGCAGACAGAGAAGAGAGAAAGGGGAGAAAGCCTGCCTCTACTTCTTACATCCTAGGATTACAGGCATATATCACAAGCGCTGGTTTCTCAAATATTAATTGTGCACCACTGTTCAGGCAAAGATCTAGACAAGATTCTTCCCACCGAAGAAACCAAGCTTTGCTGGTTTTCCTTTCAGTTTTTTTTTTGGCAATCAAATCCTTCCCACCTAGTTTCTAGGTGATTTGGAGGACATCTCTGACCGTGTGACATAAGGCTCTATGAATGCTGTTCCCATGCAGACGCCACTTTAAGTTCAACACTGTGCAGCCAGCACACTGTGTGCTGTCACACGTGCTCAGTTTGCTCAGCACACTGGGTTAGAAGCTGTCTCTGCCATTCTGCCAACAACAAGCTACTCTCACTTCTCTCTCACTGAAAGGTCCCACCCTTTCCCTCTACCACACTCTCGAGACAAAGGACCGTGAGCCGAATTCCTTCTCAAAACCTGCTCAAAGCCAGGCATTTGAGAGGCAAAGGCAGGTGGATCTCTGTGAGTGTGAGGCCAGTCTGGTGTACACAGTGAGGTCCAAGATGGCCAGTTACATAAGACAGACCTTGACTTAAAAAAAAAGCAAACAGAAATAAAACAAACCTCTGCTCAAGGATCCCTATGAAGTGCAGACTTGATACCAAGTTCTGGGGACCATACAATTCACCTCCATCTAGGGCACATGTCCTCCAAAACTCAAGGCTCTGCACTACTCTTCACTCTGTCAGTGGGGACAGAGAGCAGGTCGGCTTCTTTGTGTAGCCCTGGCTGTTCTGGAACTTACTCAGTAGACCTGTGTCTGCCTCCCTCTGGATTGCTGGGATTAAAGGCATGCATCCTTTACACCTGACCCAACCTTTGACCCTGGAGCCTTGTGCACACCCTCACATGTGCTTGACCAAAGCTGCCTCCACTTCATTTTCTACACACTTCTTTCCCCAAGAACCTGGAGCTATGAAAGTTAACTCACTCTAAAGACTAAACGTTCATGCCACGGGGGTCGGGGAGTGCAAATACGTAAATGTAACTCTTTAAAAATATTTTTTTAGTGATGAGAAAACAACTTGGAGCCAAGTATAGTATATACACCTATAATCTCAGCACAGGCAGAACTGTTCATTGGGAGGCCAACCTGGGCTACCTTGAAATCCCTCTTTAAAAAAAAAAAAAAGAAGACAGACAGCTAGCTGGGAGCTTCAGAACCAATCAGATCACTCACGTGCATGGTAACTGAAAAGCAGCAGACTGGCTTGTGAGTAGCTCAGACCTAAAACATCTGCACTGTAGGGTTTCTGGTCAGTTTTCTTGACCAGATTAAGAACCTGAAACATATGTATCAAGAATTCCAAGGATGCTGGCCTGGGCTGTCAATGCACGCTGGCTAGGCGTGTGCAAAGCTGTGCACAGGGTCACCTTTAAGGTGAGTGAGTAATCAAGTACCATCTTACTCCAGTCCTCATGGTTTTGCCTCAGGGCAACAACCCAACTCCTTGTGATCCCTAAAACACAGAGGGTGGTAATTTTAAGTGCTTGCTATTGGTTCAACAAATCCCAAATGGAATGATCCAGCTGGGGAAGCTAGCTCAAGGCTAGGAAAGAATGCAGGGCAATTACTCCACTTTCTCCAGCCCCACCTTCACCTGGCCAGGGCTTGCCTTCCCCTTCCTTGCACCAATAAGCTATCACCTCCCCCAAAGAGGTACACCAAGGATGGCTTTGGAATGAGTCCTTTCTCTTGGAAGCTACCTCCTCTTCTGGAGTCATCTGCTGATGCTACACACAGAGATACACCCCTGCCCAGATGTTGCCTCTCTCCTCCCATCATGCCTTCTAGAACTTCTGACAACCACACCAGATCCAACTTAGGCAGCTGCCTCCAATGACCCAGAGACCCTGCATTGCGGCTCCTCAGCTAGCACGAGGCATGCAGCTGGCAGAGGAAAGGGCCTGCTACCATTTCCATAGCAAGGAGTAGCTGGTAGGCAAAGGCTCCTTCCCAGGCTGCCAGGTCTCTAAGAGAATCGTGCCTGCCACCACCCTTATTATTACTCCCCCACAGCTCCTTTGTCTTTCTCCTCACCCTTCACCACAGTTCGTGAAAATTCTTCTCCCACAACTTCCCCAGTTTGTCAGATGTTGCTGCTGATAGCTGCTTTACCATCCCCAACTCACCAGCACAGAACATGTGCCCAGCACAGCTTGGGCTGGCAAAGGAGGAAAGGGGCCTCCCCCAGGACCGGCACAGTAGAGGGGGTTAGCAGCAGGAGGCCAGAGGAAAGGAGAAGAAGGGACAGCGCGGACGGTGGGGGAGGGGCTCATTAGAATAGTCAGCCTGGCAGTACAACCACCCTCCTTCCCACGTTCACTACCTCTACTCCCCAAGCAGACAATGGGAAGGGAAGGGTTAACTAGAGGCTCTAGCATCTGGTCTCTAAGCCCTGAAACTGGGCAGGGTCCAAGAGGGGCACAACACCATCCCCCAATACCCATAGCGCAAGAAAGCCACTTGGCCTAGAGTTCCTCCAGCCCAAGAAAGCCGCTGGTAACTCTACAGTCTACAGCTTCTCTGTCCAGTTCCACCTCAGGCAGCTGTACCCGCAGCACCTCTCTCGGCGACTCCCATTCCAAAGGTCAGAGGTCTGATTGCCTCTGCCGCCAAACCCACGCGGCTCTGGGCTATCCCAGTGTCACAAAACATCAGGCTACCCTCCACGACTCTGAGGGTCCCACTACTCCCTACCATAGCTCACTACTTTTCTGGTTGCTGGCCTAGTGATACAGGAATATTGGGGTGTATTATGGGAGGAAACTGTCTCTCTCCAGAGGCCTAGAGTTGGTAGGGCCTTGAGGCCAACATGGTCCCCCAAGAATGCACACAGGTCACCAGGAACTGCCAGGCACCCATCAAGCCACCAGGACAGCCCAGGCTGCTTCCAACCCAACTCTAGTCTTCTACTGTCTTCAGCCGGGACGTCTGCTCCCAGCCTGTGGTAACCGCTGTCCGGGCTGATCTTTCTGTCCCCTGAGCATGCCAGGTGACAATTGAGACCAGCGACGAGTGAGGCCTTGAAGCTCCTAAACTCCAGTGAGTGGGGTGACCCAAATCAGCACAGCACCCCCGGAACTCAGTTGGGCCGGAGGCTTAACTTGACTCTTTGCAACACTGAGGGCTGCGGGGATCCTCCCACCGCCCCTACCACCTCCCCGCCCCCGGTATCCCCAGGACTCTGTCCAGGAACCTACCCATAAGGCCAGGTGCAGCCCCTCTGCAGTACAGCTCAGGTGTGAGCCCCGGCCCGAAGCTCTGTAAATAGCTGCCCGTCTGGGGGGAGGGGCAGGGGGCGTTGGGGCTGGGGGCGGAGGGGGCCAGAGGGAGGGGGAGGGGGCGCTGGGGGGGAGGGAGGGAACATTTTCTTTGTCTAGAACTCCAGGTCACGTGGGCCCCACTGGAGTTCCTGGTTGGCTACGCGCGGGCGGGGGAGGGGGCCGGCCTCCTACGCTGGCGCTGGGCCAGCCCCTCACCCCGGCCCGAGGGGCGCGGGGGGCCTGGGGGCGAGGCTGGCCGGTCCGTTCCCAGGGCCCCGCCCCTCCAGCCTGCTCTATCGGACGTCCCGCTCTGCCCCCTTCCCCCAACTCTGGGGATTGGGAGGGGGGCACAGGGAAGATGGGGACCCTGGAGGAGGCAGGGTGCATGCAGGCCACGGGGGGGGGGGGGCGGGGCCCCGGAGCAGCGGTGGTGGGACAGGAGCGCTGGCTTCAGACAGCCTGAGAGTGCGGGGAGAAAGTTGTAGAAAGTGAGTTTCGCAGAAGCAAGAACAGAGGGGTAAAAAAAAAAAAAAAAAAAAAAAAAAAAAGAAAAAAAAAGAAAAAAAGAGCGCGTGCGGGAGCGCGCAAGCGAGTTTACAGAGGAGGCTCGGAGTTTACGGAAACGCAGTTTAGGGAAAGTTGGAACACAGATATGAGTGGACAGAAGGTGTCCCACACGGGTTGAGGGCGCCCCAGAACAATAACTGCTGGGGGAGTTAAACCCCATCACCACGCTACAGGTGAATGGAGGGGGTGCTTTAAAAGCGTGATTGACAAATAGACTCTGAAAACGTCCCTACCCAGTCCCCGAGTCCCCCAGATCACTCTGGATCTTGCTTGGTTGTCTCATTTTTCTGTTCATTAAGAACAGGGCCTTCATTCACAGCCAAGGCATCTGTTAAAACCTGTGGTGGTGACGTGCACCTGTAATCCTAGAACGTGGAAGAGAGAGAGAGAGAGAGAGCAGGAATTCCAGATCATCCTTGACTAACACACGTTCAAGGCCAGCCTGAACGTCACGAAACCCTGTCTCAACAATTACGGAATAG